CTCTTCCTCATTTTGATTTTCCTTACCCTGTTCAGGTGAAACTGGCTGCTGGCATATCCAAGTCCCATGTCAGAAGTTGTTTAACAATAAAGTAATATAGACGATGCAACTCTGGCTCTGTTTCATGCTACCAGTCTCAGTTTCTCAGAGCCTGTTTAGATTCCCTGCTGTCTGAAGTAGGAACTTTGTCAGGTTTCTTGCATTTTTTTCCCATTTTCTAATTTTTTTTATTATTATTATTATTATTATTATTTTTTTTTTTTTTTCATTCAGCAATGCTTGTTTAGGAGTTGACGGCTTCATGCATTTATCTTCAGATTTCTTTAACAGCAACATTTCAGACATTGTCCTGACAATTCTACTTTTGGGAGTGCCAGTTTGTTTATAAATAGAAACAATTTGGGGGCTGGTCTGCTGTCTACATGTTCATATATTTCAAAGTTATGTTCAAAAGATACAGTACACATCAGGTACTTTGATAGCTCATTTAACAGAAACATGACACAATTCTGATATTCTAATCAGTGAATATTTTGTTTTACAAAGATTTGGTATATTCTGCTTCAGTCACTCTCCTACTGCTTTTTCCAGTTGTTCTGGTCTAATGGAGAGTTTCTCCTTTATCCACAACTAGAAAGATAGATATTTCATACTTTCAGTGTTTCAGACAGTATTCAAACACTGAGACAGGCTTTCTAATAAGGTTTCTGGTGCCTGGTGAATGTCAGTGTTCATCAGGAGACATCTGAATAATGCCTGCATTAATATGCTTTAACTTCAGGTCAGTCCAGAGTAGGTCAGGCCACTGGATGTGGGACCTTCAAAGTTCATGTTCCAGCTCTCCTTAGCAGGGTCTGTTGTGACAGGACAAGGGAAAATGGTTTCAAACTAAAAGAAGGGAAATTTAGATAGGATATAAGAAAAAAAATTACAGTAAGGGTAGTAAAGCACTGGAACAGGTTGCCCAGAGAAGTGGTGGATGCCCTCACCCTGGAGACATTCAAGGTCACCAGGCTGGATGGGGCTTTAGCTGTAGCTATCCCTGATCATTGCAGGTGGGTTGAACTAAATGAGCTTTAAAGGTCCCTTCCAATTCAAATGATTCTATGATTTATGAACTATTCTATTCTATTCTATTCTATTCTATTCTATTCTATTCTATTCTATTCTATTCTATTCTATTCTACTTTACCATAGTTCCATACTATTTCAGCAACTTGTCCTCAAGATAGAGTGCTGAAGAAACTGTGGTTTAAGTGTAAAGGCTGAAACAAAGCTGGAGAGATAAAAATCTGTTTAGTAACAAAACACTTTCATATATTTTTCTTCCTATCTTTTTTCTACTTTAAGAAAAAGGAAGGACTTTTCCACCATATTTTCTTTTCCATTTTTGTTTCTTTTTCCTGTAAAAAAATATATGCATTTATCAATATGAACACTTATTTCAACTTATTATAATAAATGGGAAATACATGGCTGGTCAGCCAGAACATACGCAAAGAAACTGAACCAAGCAGCACGTGTATTTAGTAACAAAGCTGACTGGTAAAAAGAAAGAAGAGTGTAAGGTCTCTAGTATAGAGTATCACAGACTTCACCAAACCAATGCTGCTCAGTATTTTCTGAGACATTATATATCCTATTTACCTTTGTTTTGAAACAAGCAATCAAACAAAAACGAAGCAGGAGTATGACTACTGTTTCCTTAGAAATTTTAAGAGGACTACACTAAAAATTCAATGGTGTATCAAGCACTTTGTTGTATCCAATGCCAGGTCTCCGCTTACTGGTGGTTCAGGTACTCTCTTTTTGGGATACCATCACACTTGAGTACAGTCATTCCCTCTATCCTTTTTAAATATGAAGTCTCTTCTTTCCCTACATATGGTGGCTGTTGACTTCATAAGCTTGAGGGAAAAAAGCTTTTTAAATGCTGTAGTATGCATATTATATGCATAAGGGAGAACATTCTTTGCTGTATAAAATTCTTTTTGTCTGTAGTGAGAATATAACTAAGCCAATGTTGATCTGTTTTGTGTCTCCACTGTAGCAACGATGACTGGATGAGAGAAAAATTGAGTCACTTACAAAAATGAATTTGTGACAGTAAACTACGCAGTCAGGCCATATTCATTTCAAAGACAGAACACATTACAAGGCAACACACAACCTTATGCGAAACATTCTCCCTCTTCCACAAGCAGGAATATTACTTGGGTATTAATCTTATAAATGGGATGCTAAACACAGGATGCATACGGTAATGATGAGAAGGGATGGTACTATCCATCTGTCACTACATTAAAGGGAAAAAAATAAAAACTGGATATATGGGTAATGAAAAGGTATGCCTTGCTTCAACAAGGCACATCTTAAATATTTTAGAATCATAGCTGGTTTCTCAAAGAACCAGAATTCTGTTTTATATTCAGATTATCTCACGTCTAAATCATACAATCAGTTTTTATTCATTCTTCATAGGAGATACGTGTGAACCAGCTATCCCCAGTTTCTCTTACAGTCAGTCAAGCAGAATATGTACTTTTAGGGTACAGCTGACTTATTTGAAACATCTACACTGAAATGACATGAACTATATCCTAGAAAGGCCATTTATCTTCTGTGACTACTAAAGGAGATGTGATGACTAGCGTAGACACCACTACCTACATTATAGCTGTATATTTGGTCACACAAATGCATTGCCTTTCTCTACAGATTTGTGAAACCATAGGTAGTCATCCTACAACCGTTCTCCTATTTCTGATAAGCTATGACTTAGTCACATCTGAGGTAGTGAAGCTTTGTCTCATACACCATACTTTTTCACTTTTTATTTTGAATCATTCAAACAAACGGACCTCTGCTTTTCATTTATTGAGACTATTTCCAAGGTAAGAAACTAGTAGTGAAACATATTCCTTATTCATTATGTACAGAAATGTTTAATGGTAAAGTTAAATTTTCATCTGTTCTGTCTCGGCCCATTAAGGTTCATCACTCCATAGTGCTTCCAGTCAGTTCCTCTAGACTGGGTCATTGTTTTGTCATGAACAAACCATGCTCTGTTTCTCTTCACTGCATAGCTAAAGAAACAAACAAATGAAGAAAATCCAACCCATGTTCACTCCCATCAACAGAAGGCTGAGACTCATAAACAAGTTACTGCATTTGGACCACATATTTTGCGTCAACTGGGCTACTTTAACTACCTGCACCTCTGTGTTCACTTGAAAAAGGGCAAGAGAGTATAAAAATACACATATATTTTGAGGATTGAGCTCAGTACATTATATCTCATCTTCTATGCTGTTGTATATAAAATAACCATAGCACAGTTAATGTAGCAGAACTTGTTAAAGCAACGTGTCGATCAACTTGTTTTGAGCATGAGTCTGTGTTCTCAGAAGAAATTCTCTTGAGAGAGAGAAATTATCCTCATGGGCCTGAGTATGTTTTGTTTCAGGTTTTTTTTTTTTTGCTACTGTCCAGCACTGATTGCTGAAATATCTATTTTGATGTCTATTATTACTCAGGCTTGCTCAACATACTGGATTTCACACTCCACTTCTCTCTGAAGATTGGTGTTCTGAATTGTTTTCCTCTTGAGGTGGATTAGATTTCATTTTTCAAAACAAAATGTCATCTTTTGGTGTGCAATTAACCCTTCTAATCCCCTTCATGCTCTTTATTGCCATGTAATGCTCCTTAATTTGTCATCATTTTCAAGGAAAAAAATGCAGCTTACTCTTTTTTTTTTTTTCTTTCATTCTTTTTTTTTTTTCAGATTCTTAATATCTGTTAAAGAAAACCAGACTGAATAGCAACTTCTATAGCACCTCTACAATGATTAACTTTCTCTAAGTCTACATACTTTCGTAACACCACTGGTTTTACTCATCAGTATTAATTAGGTTTTCTTTCAAAGAAATGTTAATTCTGTCATCTATAAATCATTCCTTTACACATAGCTATTAAAAATACTTTACTGACTATGTGAATCTGCAGATATTTGTAATCTACTGCTTATTATTTCTGCTTTTTGATAAAATATTACCAGATTCCTTGTTCTAAGGCTCTGTTGGTTTTTAAAACATTTGGCACATAAAAATACTAGAGCTTCACTTTCCAAACTCTACTAGTTAGAAGGAAAGTAACAGACAACAGACATTTCTATATAGAATCCCCCCCTTTTCTTTCTTTTTCTTTTGAAGCACAGAGTAACATACATTCAGAGAAATGAATGACTTGAGAGGAATAAAGATCTGTAATTAAAGACATTAAGTCTTACTGTTAAATTAAATGCTCATAACAAACCATCATGAAAATGTGTTTGGCTAAACTGTTAAAAGTAGCTATTTATCACTGATGAGGTGTTCAAATTTGTGTCATTATTGTTTTTTTACAGATAAGCATTGACTCTCTCCTTCTAATTGTGTGTATTCATGTTTACTGTGTCAGGTTAATCCCAAAAACTAAGTTGCTAGAAGCTACTTTTTAAAGGAGAGAAAAATATGCTTTGTTTGATCTTTGTTGTTCAGAAAGAAACAAAACAATTGCTATACAAGAATTTTACAAGGAAAAAAGACACAAAATGGCTTATACAGACTAATAATCTTGTAAATGGCTGAAAGACTGCTCCAATTTTGATCTACCTTAATTATGCAATGTAAGAAAATACATGCAAAGCTTGCAGAACTGGGTTGGGGTGATAAGAGTTTGCTGCACACATCACACATAATATTGAAGGGTGAAAGGTCCTGAAATACTCTAGTTTTATCCTTATACAGAGTAGGGATTGTTGACACTCAAAACACAAACATTTTGCCTACAATACTTAATTGCAGATTAATACTTATCCAGTACCAATAGTGTTACCTCCCACAACATGGAAATTAATTTCCCATCTAGCACACAAGGATGTAGTGAATATATGGATGTCTTACGGTTTAGAACCTTTTACACACATTTTTGCAATTGTACAGACTTTCCAAACTTACCTCCTCTATGGATAATCAAAGAAGTTTCACTTCCAACAGGACATTCCTTAAGTATATCCACTACTTCTGCATGGCTCAGGTTCTGTACATTCTGCTGGTTGATCTCAACAATGAGGTCACCTTCACACAAACCAGGACATCCCTGAATGTCTAGAATTTGCTTCACCCTCTGTCCTGTAGGACTGTCTGCTATAGTGAAGCCAAAGCCCTGGGCCCCTTTCACAATGGTTAAGGTCATAAGTTCAGCTTGGGTGGCCCCAGAAGAAGCCATTGATACATTATCATCATGGGCAGGTGGTGGGAATGTGCTATCAAGCTGACTATCTGCTGGAATGGAGTGCAAGGAGTGTGGTGGTCGATCTGTTACGTCTGGAACAGACTGAGAAGTCCTAGAAATGTATTCCAAATAAGTTTCATAGTTATGTCTTCCATTTACCACTACCGGAGGCCTCTCCATTACTGCAAGGGGTGGCACCATGCTGTTGGCAGGATCTTCAGGATCAAAGGGCAAAGGGTATCCACGACATAGCACCAAGTTGACACTCTGACCAATAGGAACAGACTGGAAGAGTTTGACTACATCTGCGTGAGTATGTCCAAGGACACAAACTTCATTAATATAGACAATCACATCACCTAGAAAGAGAAGAAGAGAGTGACAATAAGAGAAAACGTTAGTAATTGTACCCTGTACAATTTTTTTAATGAGATAGAACTCTATTTAAAAAATAAAATAGATTAGACCAACATGTTGACTCAAACAGTGGAGACAAAACATTAGTTTGTCTGCCAACAAATGTAATACAGGTAGACAATGGTAGTACTATTTCTTTTCTGTGGTAGCTCACAGCTGGAGAATTAAGCTGGATTCAGGAATATACCTTTTCTTAACATTTCTTTCCTATTTTTCTTCTCTTTTCAGTGTACACCACAAATGACTTTTTTTTAAGATACAGCAGGAGCTTATTTGGAGGACTTGTTATTAAGAAATGTTATTGTTTGTTGAAGAGTAAAAGTAAAGAAGAAAGGAAATAGTAAGTACTTGTGGACATGAGAATCAATGAACAGAGATGAAAGGTTCAGCTAACATGATTGAAGAAATATTTTTTTTATTGGACATGATATTGACAGTTTTCTATTAAATGTTGTTGCTATCAAACATCCAGAACTACTACAGTCACTTCCTATTCTAGGCAGGATCTAAACTGAATCTCGCATATTGAAGTAAAGTTCAGTGGTATTTTGCCGTAGCTGTGATGGTTTAAGCATGATGACAGGACAAATTTGGTACGTAGGTATAATAGCGTTTTATTAGACAAACTGTTTTAGTTGAAGGAATCTAGACAAACACCAGAAAGACAGTTTAAGATTTCCAAATTTCGAACTAAATCAGCTTGTCAAATGAAAATAAAGATATTACTTTTAAGTTCAGAATCTTGTACAGAACTACCAGTCAGAGCATTATGCATGAAAGCAGAACGCTTCAAATCAACAGGCTATTTGTGGGTTATTTGCTCCTGCACCAATCATATCTTTTAAAGGAAATTTCCGAAACAGATTCGCTTTCCTTCTTATTGTTAGAATGGATATATGTATTAATATTCATAAATAATTTTAAGGTAATGTTACAGTATGCACTAAAATAAAAATAAGTGATTTGTAAAAGCAATATTCAGAATAGTTCGTTGACCACAGCTGGTTTGCACTTTAATGAAACAACAATAGGGTAGGTTTGGTTAGAGAACTCTGCAAGTTGAAGTATTTTTAAAAAAATCCTCTTATTATCCTACCATTAATTACGAAGAAAAAATCATTTTTACAGACAACATGATGAGGTGTCTAGAAGGTATACAGTTCAATAATTGAGTTATCACAACATATTGCTTTATAATGGTATTTCAAAACTCAGCAATAAAATGAGAATTATTTGGGGAGGAAGAGGTACTTTGTGTGGAATTGCTTCGAGTATATTTGTGAAATTCCATCTTTCAAGTGCTTAAATCAAAAGATCTAATCAAGCAAACTGAGGAAAAAAGAGCATCATCAAGATGCCAGTGCAGAAAAAGGCAAAGATTGTTTATACGTGAAAATGAAATGGTCAATTCCCACACAGTCAGACTATCTAACAGCCTGACAGTAATTAATTGCCTATGCACAAATTGTGATTTGTTGAAAGATTTCTTCAGAGAGTGTTCAGGGAAAAAATGTGAACAGAATTTGTTAAAGTGTTTGTGAATAATATTCACAAATAATAGGAGCCACAAATACAGTCTTAAATGTGTCATAAATAGATTTCAAGCTATAAGCAAAAGCAGTATGTTCATTTCATAGGTAGTGCAGAAGGAGCTCCAATACTTCTGTCTTAAGCAGCTGATGCTATAAAAACAGTTTTTGAAAGTCAATATATTAAAGAGAGAAAGAATTTGCTGTATGACATTATAGTGGCAGCAGCTGCAATTCATTGTGATTTGATCATGCCCTGCTATAGAAAGATCTTACCTGCACTCTCATCCCTGGCTTCCACATTAGCAGCGAGGCTGACATTGCTCATAATAGGATGGATACTGTTGAACTGAGACCTCTTCAATACATGCTCCTATTGCAGTAGCTTATGCCTTCATTGTACCCTTGTAACTTTCTAATCCATGCAGTCTTTATTTCCCTGAGTGCTGGCAATGCAGATATGTAGTGGGAGGAGAGCAATCTGTTCATCCTCTCTTGCAACACTTAAGCAGAGGGTGCAAAGGATCAAAGCATTATTTGTGCAGGGCACGGAAACCTTGTCTGCTTCACTTTATATATTTGTACAGCATTGGCTGTGTTTTAAAACTTAAAACAAGATGTTTTTCAGAAATCAGGAGATTAGATAAACTAACTGACATAACAATAGCTATCCAGTGAAAAGAAATTAGCCAGTGCACAAAAAGCATGCTAAGAAAATATACAGCTGAAGTCATCCCTTCCCCCAGTCTCTGAAAAGGCAGAAATGAACATTCAGAGGTCTTGGGTAAGAACTACTCAAAATAATGAAGCTGTATTATCCCTCACAAATTCTTCAACATTTCCTCTATCAACATTTTTAAAGATTCTTATGCTTTCTGAGGTTTAATGTGAACAGTGTATCTAGGGCACAGTCTGAAGCCGTAACTCACAGTTGATCTGGTTTGAGACCCATAGTGCTATATTGTCATATGGTGAACATATGGCTGAAGGTTAAAAGGGATGAGGAGAAAGGCATGAGTTACCAAGTTCAATTCATGGTGAAGCTACAGTGGTGTCAGCCTGGGAAGCAGTTTCAGATCATGAGACATGAAGAAGGATTAAAAGGAGTTAATTTCAGAAATTGTTCAAATATATCTCTGGATTGTAGGAGTTTTTTCCAGCCTAACTCAGTTGCCAGGCTGAGAATTTTTTATTACTGACAGAGAAAGAAATACCCAGCATTTGGTAGGAAGAGAGAGAGAAGTTAAGAGCATTACAGAGATGGTGCCATGTTAATGCAGAGTTCAAAACCTCTCTACATTAGGAAAATTTCCTGAAAGGTTCCTGTAGTATCTTCTCGGACTGTTACTTCCTGCTGCTTCTAATAATAAAGGATGCATATAGACAAGCATAATTGCTATCCCCTTTATAATTCCTGCACGAGTATTTGAGCAAGACGGTCTGCCTCCAGAAATCACAGTTCCACAGTGAGTGGGTCCCCTCAAACTTCTGCAGAATGTTTAAATTAAGCATCATACTTTGTCTGGCTTTTAGAACTAAATGTACTAAACTGACTAGAGTTTGTTGCCACAGTCAAAGACTGGCAGAGGTTTGATGGGACCTCTGGGTCCATCTGGCACAACTCATGCCCCCGCACGGACAGCCAGAGCAACTTGTCCAGGGCCATGGCCATGTGGATTTTGAAGATCATCAAGGAGACCTCACAGCCTCTCAGCAGCCTGTGCCACTGCTTCATCACCCACACAGCACAGAAGTACTTCCTCGTGTTTAGATGGAATTTCCTGTGTTCCCATTCGTCCCATTATCCAGGTAATTACAGGCCAGTCAGCCTCACCTCTGTCCCTGGAAAGGTGATGGAAC